GGGCGTGGCAAATGGGTAATTGAACCGAGTTTCTGCGTACTGGTCGACAAGAGGAGCGAGGTTGAAGCGCCTGTCATGAACAATGTCCAGCACTCTGACCAAGGCAGTGAAGACGAGATCTTCCAGGTCGTCGTTCCCGGTGTAATGAACAAGAATGCCAAAAAGGGCGTCCAGGACATCGTTCAGCAACTTGACAACCTCGATTTCGGGTACGAAGATGAATGCCTTCAGAATGTCAGGTACCTCTTCCTGAGGCAAGTCCTTGCCCTTTAACAGGCCCAGTACGACCTTGTCTTGGGAGAACCGCGTGCTGCAAAGATATGTATCGATGCGCAAAACAGCCAGCGGACCAGTCACCTCAGCATGCTCATCTCGGAAGTTAGAAGCAAAAGGCAAGCTCAGATATCCTCCCTTGCCTCCTGCAGGGGCTTGGGCGTTGGACGTATTCTCATCCAGCTTGTACAACAACAAATTGTGGGAACCGTCATGGATGAAGGCCTGCTGATCCCACAGAGGCAGGTATGCGACAGCGAACGGAGGATTTGGCGCATCTGCAAGGTACATGACGACGTGTGACTGATGGACATCTTGGGGAGCAAGGACGAGCTTGACGATCTGCTTCCACGGGTCTCCACGGTCGACGGCTGTCGATCTCCATGTGCTCAGGCCTTCGTCTTTGGAGGAGGGATATATGCAGTAGTCGATGCGTTCGCCATTTGCCCGACGTACCTCGAGGGTAATCTGCAAGTTGGTGCTGTGAATACTGCTGGGCAGCGCTGTCGCGCTTGCTCCGTACCGGGACAGTAGGGTCTGCCTGGTCAAGATAGCTTCGTCAATGGTGACATAGATGTCTGATCGCGGCTTGGTTGGCGCTCCAGAGAAACCCATCTTGTTGGTCTTGCAGATCCCAGACAAGACCGTAGGCGTCATCTTGATGAGGGCGTCGGCGTCCGGGTTGTTGAAGGACCGAAGGCGTATCTGTAACCTTTCGGCTCTCCTTGACCTTTCATGGTGCCCTGATCTGATGTCGCATATTTCCTTTATTAGTGGGTCCCATTCCTCGCTGTCACCGTGTCTGTCCGATGGGAACTTGGAGCAGGGTGCCCAGATGTTGACCACATGTTCAACCTCCTCGCCCTGTTGCTTCATGATTGAGTTCAGCTTCAGCACTCCAACGCCGACCGTCCTGTCGGCTGTAGTCGGTGGGGATTGGCCGTCAATAGAAGAACGACCTGCTCTATTCGAGTTAGCGGTACTCGGTGGTCCTCCATCCCTACTTTCAAGAGCTTCATTGCTGGTCTGCTGTTCTTCAGCCTGCTCCGACAACGCCTCAAGGTCCGAGTTCTTCCTAGTAAACGCGCCCCGTGTATTCTTGTTGGCCCAAACCATGCTCCTACGCAAGGCTTTATTCCCGGACGTCAGGGGTGGTTTTGACTCTTTGGCGGATATCTGGGGCGAACTGTTGGAGGGCGCGCCTGATCGAGAGCTCGGCTTGGCTGCTACAACTGACTGAGGTGCCCGGATTTTGACGACCAACAACAACTCGGATTTGGAGGACTGTACATCACCAACGTCGGCAGACGAGAGATCGGAAAAAAGCGTGCGCATCTGGGAGGTCCGCGCTAGGTTGGTTAGTTGTCCGCCAGCTGGCACATCTACTATGTAACTCTCCGACAGAGGCGTGACTCTTCCTCCGGGTGCTTTTGTTGCAAGGTAAAGGACCAGGGTTGTCGACTCGTTGGATGCGCCGGCAAACATTTTGATGTCCACCATCAAGTGGTGCAAGGCCGTCAACTCGGGTGTGGTTGTTGGAGGCTCGTCCAGCAGGCTCATGACGGACTGCAGTTGGGTTATTTCTACGACAGAATCATCGCCCGTCATCACACGGCCACGGGCGTTGGGATCGCGCACAATGACCTCTCCTCCACACAGCTTGTTGACACGGACCAGATCCCAAACCGTCTTTTCCCGCAGGTTGTCGTATTCCCAGGTAGTGAGGACATTATGGAGAAACTGCTGTCGCGAAAGGTTGAGGCTTGTGATCAGCTTGGAAAGAGTGTCGAGCTTTTCGTACTGTCGCGAGAGCAGGAGCCCATGGAGGTTTGTTGAGTGCCATTCGCGGAGGCAGGATGCGATCTCATCAATGAGTGGTTCGGCAGCCGAAGTAGGTGTTTCGTCGCCAATCTTGAGCATAGGCACGGGAGCAGGTGGTCGAGGCGCATTGGGATCGCGTTGTACGGGAACGGACAAGCGGCCTTCTTTTGTCACTCGTTCGCTCCTTCTCTTCTTCGTTTCTCCGTTTGGCTCCCCATCGTCAGGCTCGCTGTCGTCAGTCTCGTCACTTTCGCCCAGCACTTCGCGTACCTCGACACAGCTGCGGGGGAAGATGCCGCTGAAGACGCGAGCCTCTAATGTCTGGCCGTTGACACTGGTCAGGCCGGCAAGCAGACTTGGAGGGGCGACCAGGTAGCCTCTCAACCAGTTTCCATCGGGTGTCTCTTCAATGATGTATAACTCGTCGCCGATTTCGAGGGGGAGGTCGGCCGCGCTGGAGGCAGTGAAGGGATATGTAGCTACGGCGAAAGCAATTCGGGGCAGTGGTTGCCAGGGCATCTTGGCGGTGTTGGCCAGGTAAAAGGCATCTATGTTTCGAGCTATCTGGGGGGATGGTGGATACTGCGACAAGAGGATAGCTGTGATTGTCGCCGTCGCCGTCGCCTTGGCGGGTGGGTTGAGCTAGGAACCCAGAGCTCAGCTCAGCTTTCCCTGATGAGACTGACTCGGTCGGTCGGTCGGTTGATTCGTCCCGATACGGTCGTCGCGTGCGAGGAGGTTCCGACGTAAACGTGTCCGGTATTAGGGTTTACGATTAAGAGATAGAAATCGGGGTCGGTGTCGTGGTATAGAATCAAAGTGTCGGGGTTGACTGTCTGTCTGGTTGGACTCGTCAAAGGTCAGCCATGCTGAGGGGTACCGAGAGAGACACACACAGCGACAGAACCGAACCTCTGGAACCAAGGGACTTATGGGTGACTGACTGAATGTGTTCGTCCGGACCTGCGGCTGCTGCTCTCAGCTGGGTCCCTCCTGGGCTGAGGTGACGGGGAGAGATGTCTGGTGATTTGTGAAAGGAGACGGGCCAGTGGCTCGCTCTCTGTGAAACGAAGCGAGTGTATTCGGTCGGGGATGGAGGGTCCTGGATGTGCTGAGGACAGGAGCTTGGACGTGGGCTCGTCGTCGAGTCGTGGGTTCTTCGTGGTTGGAACTGGAAGTGAGAATCGAATGAGCGACTGGACTGGACTTCTCAATTGCTGGCGTGCAAGGTTGAAGCTGCAACGATTCCTGTCGAGCGTAAGTGGAAGTACCCCCAATTTTACCGCAATGCGCTAACAGCACCAAAAGTCCACTGGAGGTCCAGATTGGCGACAGGGGTCACGAAAGGGGTCTAAACCGACTTGAACTTGTAAAGTGTAGTGTACCTTTACAGTACAACAGCCTGCAATAGTACCTACACTACCTCTAGGTACGTACACCTAACAGTAGTACGTACATGATTACATCAACACATGAAGCTGAAAAGTGACGAAAACCGTCAATTCTCGTGTGACTGCTTTCTTTGACTAGATAAATTCACCCGATAGGTAATCGTGACAGCAGCCCCCGGCTTGTGAACGATGCCTTCACCCGGACGGGCTGAGAGCGATGGATGTCCATGGGAAATTCATCGGCTCGGAAAAAGCAATCATGCCAAGTCGTGACAGAAGGGGATGCTGCAGGTGGTGTCTTGGACTCTCACCAAGTCTAAAAAATCACAGCCACACAGACTCGCAATGAAATTTGCAAAGTCCTCGGCTGAGAGCAAAGATAGAGGGACCATGGACAACTCTCTACCTAGGTACCTCTACCTAGCACTACCACCATCCAACGTGGCTTGCCGTCGAATCCGCCATCATATCCGGGGGATTCAGTTGTCACAGTTCTCAGGTCCATGGTACCTCTAGAATTAATCTCGAATCCCGGCATCCCTCTCCCTCTTCCCTCCCTTCACTGTCATGTCCTCATCAAGCTCCCCAAGGCAGCCCAAGATGCAGACCTGATATCACCCGACACTGCCTAGCCACTCCAACGCCCTTTTATCTCATTCTCGCAACCCAACAACCGTTGTTTAATCTCAGACCTCCCGTCCCCTTTTTTTTCTGATCGTCTCATCCCACGAGGAGAAAGGTCCGTGCTGTGTTTCTCGAAATGTGTCTCCACAGCTTCGCCGTTCCTTGGCATTGGTTCCTCCTGGGCACCTAGTTTAATGGGCCCTCCAGTCCGCTTATCGTGCCCCTGTCGCACCCGACATGATTGACATGCACGAGAATGCCCTGTCTGTCCCCCACCTCTTCCGACCACTCGTCAACCAGTTGCTGCTTGCCGCTACCCTGCCAAGTGTTCTGCCCTGTCTTGGTCCCTGGAGCTTCGTCGCTGTTTCAGTGTTGCTCTCCTGTCGATTGCAATTCGTCTGTTCCTTGTCCTCCCCATCGTCTTCCATTCTCCGAACATTCGCTACATACCTTCAGGCCAGAAGCCCAATCTCCAGTCGCAAATCGTAACGTCTTTACCCCCCTCTCCCCTCCCCGGTCCCTTGGGCGCAACGACCGACCATCTCTCATGTCCCTCGTCCCGGGACACCAAACGCTGATCCGCGTCCCAAGCCCAAGTGGAAGGGATTGGCGACCGCCGACCAGCAACATCATCCGGCTACCATCGCTGCCAGTTGTCGAAAAAGGGACTATTCTCGAAACTCAGCGCCTTTCCCTATAGCCACCCGGTCATGACCGAGCAACTGCTAACATCATGCTCTTCTGAATAGACTGTTGTTGTCAAAGTACATTGGCCCAAAATCGCGATTCCATCCACTCCGATAGCCACGACTGCGGCCATGACCATGATCCATACCCGTACACAATCAACGGTGCCGACTGGTAATTGTCGCTACATTTGGCTGAGGCTTCCAGGACGGGACATGACATCGAAGCTCGACGGCCGAACCCTCTGCAGACGCCGCCAAAACAATATGAAACACGGTCCCATCCCGAGTCCCAAGAGCTGAAGAACCACTGCCAATTCCGTGTCACGGTCGCACGCTTATCAGTGCGAAACTGCCATGCAACCTCCTCCAAATCCTTCAAAACAGATGTGCTATCCATAAAATACGATTGACATGATCAACCCGTGCGCTGAGCTTCGAGATCCACGCGGGCGGCTCGGAAGGGTATACCCGTGGCTTCTGGTCCTGGCCTTAGTGGCGCCTCTAGACTCGCTCGGAACCGGGAACGGATAGTCAAGCTGAAAGACGGGACGACAGCCATCACACAATATCGGCTACACTACCCGGTTGTCCGCCGACCCTGTGCCCGGGTTCAACTGATCCTTTGTTGCGCCAAGGTCCACAAGCTTCCCAGTTGGGCCGTGGCTTAGGGTAAGCTTGCGCGGCTCTGGCATCGTCTTTGCGGATCTGTACTTGCCAAATGGCAAGGACAGTATACATGGTGATGGTCGTCAGTCGCGAAAGTACAGGGTACAATGTGCTCACTAACTACCGCATCTTCCACACATACACGCTGCGCAACAGCCATTCTCATTGCGACAGCTTCGCTCATGACGTCCCCATCTACAAGCCTTGTGGAGTCTCTGCCCTCCGGAGCGGGCCATCCCGGCCTCATCGTGTCCAGGCACCCAGGGTCCGGTCCGGAGCACGAGTCCACCACATGCTCGATCTCCACCTTGATTAGGGTACATATGGATTGATAAAGGTGCACTTCCACCACGCAGTTCGACAGCGAATAATCATCACATGCCTGCAAAGGTTGTATAGTGTAGCGGTTATCACTCCGGATTCTGATGTTTTCAGAAAATTCCGGCAACCCCGGTTCGATTCCGGGTACGACCTACCTTTTTCCCAAATTTTTTTCAAGCTTCAGCTCGCGTTAGCTCGTAAAATTTTTCTTTTTTTCTTTCTTTGCTGCTCACGTCTTGGGTCAGATGTCCAGTTGCCTTCACTCCAAAAATTACTATCGAAATTCCACGATCACTTCTCCACCTTCCCTTTGTCGCAGCAAAAAGTGTTGTTGCACTATGCCTCTCAGGTTCTTAGTCTTGTTACCCATGTCAGCATGGAAAACATTGACAGGTATTTGCAAAGGCGGAGCTATGTGTTACTATCTTCTATAACAGATGATATTGGCCTTTCTTTAACTTTGGTTTTTGCTGGAAAGGAAAAAAAACACTTGATGGGACACAAAAATTCGCAAAAGATCAGGTCGTACCCGGAATCGAACCGGGGTTGCCGGAATGTTCTGAGCACATCAGAATCCGGAGTGATAACCGCTACACTATACAACCGCTTGTTGCTAACCAAAAGTTTTATTCATTCATAATAGCATCAATACCACACATGCCTCGCGCAAGCCAAACACATATAACATCCACTGATTCCCACCTATCTTTGAGAGCCAAAACGATCTCTCAACGTAGGTTCCCACAATGGGTTGAGGAACTATTAATCTATTGCAGGAAAAAAATCATCTAAATAGAACGTCAATTTGATGTAGAAGCACATCGACTAGTAGCTTTGCCTTTTCGTTTCCCCCAAAATAGGTAATTACTACCGTGCATAGGCACCAAACTAAGGAGAACGGTTCAAGTACTGTCGCTACTTGTGTCGTCACATCGTAACAGTATGTCCGTTTCCAACTTGCCCATATAGGATTCAGTTGATCTTCCGATATTGAGTCTTCTGGTTTTCGCAAAACTGTGGAATTGCATGCAAAGGCGACGGTAAACGGGTTACATTGTGTCGTCACTCCTCTCATCTGGCTACGCCCCTTTTCTCGATTCCGTCACTCTCCAACAACAAACCCCGGAAAAACATACCCCGAACTCCAGCACAGGGGGTAACCAGACCTCCATCTCCCCCCCTGAACACGAACAATCCAAGAAACAACGTCCCTCCGACCACTGGAAGTCCTACGATGACTGGAATGACAACGGCCCAATGCGCAATTCATCTTGAGCGCTTCATGTCCTCCATAAACAAAGATGGCCTGAAATCCCACGTTGAACAGCTGCTGCACTCACCCGTCAGGCTCTCCGACCGCTTTCCCGCCGGGCAGCACTGGTGCTGCTTCGAGTTTTCTACATCTGACGAACGACGCTCTGTTATTGCCCGCGTGCGCCTGCCCAAACATCCAGGTTGGAGGCAAAAGACAGACCATTGCCAGTGAGCATAGCGGGTGTGCTGGAAGAGAGTAGAGCGTCGAGGTGTTTTGGGGTGGTGGAAAAAACTGGGGGTATCCAAGGGGGTGGAAGGGGAGTTGGTTAGGGAGTTGGTGAGGCTGGAGTACGGAGAAGAAGGGACGGAGATGGGGAAAGGAGACGTGGAAGGGTGGCTGGAGGTAAAGAGACAGGAGATGCAGGCGTTCCTCAAAAAGGGGGGATGTTCAGGGATTAGGATTGGAGGAAAAGAAAAGGGGAGCAGAGGAGAATGTTACCTACTGCGATATGTGTGTAGGTAGGTACATATGAGTTACGGTAGGGCCTATCCATCCAGCTAGGTCGCAGGCTCGTTGCCGTATTCATGCCCAGTCACTTCCACTCTTCCACAGGCTCTTCCAAGCACTAGAGGTACTCTTGACTCAACCTTGTAACTGACCGTAATTGCGACGAATGGACTAAAAAATCCATAGTCACAACTAGAAGTACATAAGGGAGACAAGCCATCACCATGAAAATGGACAATCAAAACACAGAGGACGTCGAAGTTAGTCGATGTAACAAGATGTATAACATCTACTTTGAGACTGTCAATAGCTCGCCGTTTGGATACCTCTACACAGCGTTCCAAATTCGGACCCTGACCGCATTTCGCCCTTAATGAACACACACTAATATGGATGATGTGTTCAATCATTGCTGGCTCCCATCACTGTCACTTCAGATACAGCCAGCGGTAAATGGGCAGAGTGTCCGCCCAAATGATGACCTCAACTAGCATGACACTGGAGTTCATAGCTAGAGGGGGAAGGGGGAAACATAATCCCTATCACAGAGGGATTATACCTTGCCGAATATCTGGTCGGATAAACTCGTTGGGTCTGTCTTGGAGAGCAGGAGGTGCTATACTGCTGTTCCAATGCAATGGCATTGAAACAAGGCATGGCTGAAGTCATCTAGTCTGCTCCCACGCCAATGACACGCGAGTATCAGCGGTGAGGCTATTCCCAAGTACCGACACTACTTGCCGAAGCTGCGGCTCCTTGACTCCGAAAAGCAAAAGGTTATTTGGACGCTCTGGGGTACCTTACCAAGATCTGCGCGTCACTGTACAGTTGGGGAAATGCTACGTTGTGACGGGTTGACGAGGGCATTTACCCGACATCTGTGCGTGCGCTATGTTTCACCGAATGTACCTCAAGACTCTTGTTCCCTGGCACGAAGGCAACATCGGTTACGGAGTTTTCGGAGCTGCCTAGTTGGGAGTTTTGCTCTTGTACGGCCATTCGATGATAGAGAATGAGGAGGTTCGGTGAACGCGTCGATCGGCCCCTGAGAGGTCCTTTGGATGACAACTGAAGTATAAATGGTCTGGCGCCATACCAATTCGGATGGAGAATCTAGGGAAAGCAAGCAGTAAGCCATCATCTACCAACACCTCAACTACTTCATTCGCCCTTTTCACCATGCTGCCCAAAACATTACTCGGGCTCGCCCTCACCGCGGCCACAGGCCTCTGTGCCTCGCTGCAGCAGGTGACAAACTGGGGCAGTAACCCAACCAACATTCAAATGTACACCTACGTCCCTGACAAGCTGGCCACAAAGCCCGCCATTATTGTGGCTGTGAGTACTCTTCTCTTGCTTCTCACACATCCGCGATGCTAACGAGGCAACGGTAGCTCCACGGCTGTGGCGGCACCGCCCCTTCCTGGTACTCGGGCACACGCCTACCCTCCTACGCCGACCAATACGGATTCATCCTCATCTATCCCGGCACGCCCAACATGTCCAACTGCTGGGGAGTCAACGACCCTGCTTCTCTCACGCACGGAGCCGGCGGCGACTCCCTCGGTATCGTTGCCATGGTGAACTACACCATCGCCAAATACAACGCCGACGCTTCGCGCGTCTATGTCATGGGCACCTCGTCGGGCGGCATGATGACCAACGTCATGGCCGCCACTTACCCGGAGGTCTTTGAGGCCGGGGCTGCGTACTCGGGCGTTGCGCACGCTTGTTTTGCCGGGGCTGCGTCGGCTACTCCCTTTTCGCCCAACCAGACCTGCGCCAGGGGACTGCAGCACACTGCGGAGGAATGGGGCAACTTTGTGAGGAATTCTTACCCGGGGTACACGGGACGTAGACCAAGGATGCAGATCTACCACGGCCTCGCCGACAATCTGGTGTATCCAAGATGCGCGATGGAGGCCCTGAAGCAGTGGTCGAACGTGCTGGGGGTAGAGTTTTCGAGGAATGTCAGCGGAGTGCCGAGCCAGGCGTATACGCAGATTGTGTATGGAGATGGCAGCAAGCTGGTTGGGTATATGGGCGCAGGCGTGGGGCATGTGGCACCGACGAATGAGCAGGTAATGTTGAAGTTCTTTGGGTTGATCAACTAGATGTCGAGCAAAAGGTTAGTTGATGGCTTGATGAAGGAATGCGGACGGGAGTGGTCACTACACGAGTAGGACAGGGATCTGGAGGTGATGGTAACGTTGGGCTGAAACACAACGGTCGAATGCGCCTCCGTGTTTGACTTGCTGCTTGACATGTTTGTAGCTCGAAGTCCCGTCGGAGAGTCAAATGAATCGGTTCTTTGAAGCGTAGTTACTTGGCAACGCGGTGCTAAACGGTCGATGCCTGAGCAAGAATTGACTGTCGGTGTGGTTGTTGTCACGTTTTTGGTGTTTTGGCCAAGTTCGGTCATCAGAAGTTGGAATCCAGAGCTCCTGCAACCCTGCCGCATCTGTCTCTCTACGAAATGCACCGAGTGCTGCAAGGAAGCATCCGGGCCTTCCCCAGGTCCGTAGAGGTAGGCACGTGGTACTAGGTATGTAAGTACCAACGCGGGACATGTACCGTTTGTACCTTCCGCTTTTGTTCCGGCTACGTATCCACCCCGCTACGAATGGAAGCCTCAACGCGTGCAGTGCTTTCCATGTTGCATCGGGGGCGCCCCTGTTAAAGTACCTCTACGGTTATTCCGTCTCATTTCCCCACCTTGTCATCTGCCATCCTACCGGGCCGTTGCCGCACTTTCGTCCCTTCGGTGATATTGACCGAACAATGCTCGCCAAACGCTGAGTGTCGTCTTTTGTGGCCATACTGCCCGACCGCTCGTTAGGTAACCAAGATCCGAAACGCAACAAATCACGATGGCCACCGTAACGGGATTACTGATAGAGTACCGCGAGTGATACAAGTGCGATCCTGGCAAGAGGATTCTAGCTGTCCAGGCATCCCTCAAGTGGAAGCCAACAAACAACGCAACTTTGAACTCCCCTCCCTGCAGGTCCTGCGATCTACTCCGATCACAGCCGGCATCGCAAGTTTTAGAAGAGACTGAACTTGTGATCGACAACCGTCTCCGTCCCTCAGCATGCCTCGTCAAACATTAGTGTCTACGAGCCTCAGCTGATAATCTTGTACCCGCAGATAATACCGAGCAATCTCCTCAGAAACTCCCCTCTTCCTCTCGAACTCAGTTTTCTCGGACCCGACCGGTTTCCCCGTCAGGCGACCTTCCCAGACCGAATAACTGCGGTTTATTTGATTGGAACAAGCAAACATACTCGGGTCAGGTGTAACGACCTCGTAATGGCCCATGCTATTATCATATTATGACGGCCAGAACAAAGGTCTCGGCGACCCTTGAGGAGGTCCCAGTTCCATGCACGTAATATGAAGAGGAATGCATGGAAGCTTTCTAGAAAGAATCTGGAGTTCGGACGTTATCCTTGTTATGCTGGAACAGAAGGGTGTGCGACAACCTTTGACGGACGCCAAATACACCGAGGACAGGCACCGGTAGCTGCGCCAATTTACCGGATCGGGAGAGTGAAAGCATCCATCCAACAGCTCGGTAAAGTGCCTCGTGAAACCGATCGTTGGTGCAACCGTCCGTAACCTTATCCTCGCTGTCACCCTTGAGCATTGCTGCATGGAAGATTGCGTGGGAAACGCTTGATCTCTTACCATATCCTCTCGGTTGCTTCCAACCTTCTAACGGCCCGTGAACCACTGATTCGCAACCTGACCCTCGGCAACTCCCGAGCACATTATTGAGGCCGATATTACTGATCTGCCTATCAGGTATCGCTCCTTAGGTTAAGTGCTTAGGATTATCTCTATACGAACGTACGCTCTTTCTGCTCTGGATAGAGGTACCTTTTCCCCCTCGCCTTTGCTCTTCTAAACTCGCCAACACAGCCCCATACTGCCCAGGACCTGTCCGCGCAACAGATCCAACAACACGACTTTTTACACTTTGGCAACCCCTTTCTGCCAAAACACAACGGTTGATATGATCAGTTCAACTGGCCCACAGTATCCTTGCTATCCTCCCTAGACGGTACGTTACCGCACGTATATGAAGTCTGCCGTCGAAAACCGCCGCTCCGTCTGCATTTGACTATCATTTCGCCCTTACTAGCGTCAACGCCCCAGTTCATCATCACACAATGAACAACCCATGCCATGAGCTTACGGCCTTTGTTGAAGAACGTGGCCGGGTCGCCATGTGGCATCTGGGTACTCTTCGGGGACAAACATGGGCGGAAACCCAGATATATGATGGCACAGGTCCCCGAAGAGGAACTACATCCCAGAAGGAAAACATCACTCTCTCGGCCTCAGTGAGATAATCATCCCGGTCCTTCTTATATTCGTCTAATATGTCCTCGCTCGGAAACTCATCCTCCAAGGCTTCGCCTCGGGGCACAAGGATTGGACGGCCTCCTCAGTGGACCGTGTCGAGGTCACGGAAGCTGGCCAGACTGTATGTCTATACGACCTTGTCCATCGGAAGGATCATTAAAGTATTAGAGGATGATCTCTTCGCCCCCCGGTATGTGATAAAGCACCGCTCCCTGGCAATTCACGGTGGCTGACCGGTCTCAGAAAAAACTCGGCCCAAAAGACAGTGCATAAAATGCTTGACCATGACCCCCGTCGTCTGCGGCCTGAGTCACGCGTTGAGATGGATCAACGCATTGACAGTCTCTCAAAGTCTACCATTCGGAAGCGAACACCGGACAATGGCATTGGCCGACCACATCCTAATGAGGTTCAGCGAAGGATATCCGACTGTTCGACGCTATACGCCGAGAAGGTGCGCACTTTACTGGACAACTTCACGATAGCAAGCGGGTCGGATCTTGAAGACATACAACGACACTCTTGGTTGGCTGAGTCTTGCGAGTTTCCAGTTACGGACATTGGCGCCGTCGGGGTTTCTCCCACACCGGGCTATGCGGTACCAGGTGATTTCCTGACTGCCCATACCTTGAACTGTGCTGAACTTCCAGCATCCGGGCATGGTAGTGGGACTTGCTGGTGCGCAATAGTAGCGGAAACGACAAGAGAAGAAGGCTCATGGTTGATACCAACCGGAAAGATACGGGACAAAGTTAGCGACCTGGTCAGAAATCCATCACCGGAGGTATGCCAGTTGCATGACCCCTTTAGAAACACCCTGCTTCACTTGTTTTCTGCCACAAGTGGCTGTCAAGCGCAGTTGTTTCGGCTCCTACCATATGCCGGTAACGCCTTGGGCTTCACCAACACTGCCAACCAGACATTTCTTCATGTTTTGAGCCCCGAATGGTTTACCAACGTTCCAAGCGCCTCGTCGTCTTTGCGAAGACTTCTTGACGTCGTCCGTCCCTCTAATCCGGACATCTTTCACGTCACCGATGTCTATGGCCGCACCTTCTTCCACCGGGCGGCATCCCTGGTAGCAGACCGGGAGGTTTTGACCGATATCCTAGCATACTGCAATATTGCCATTCCACTATCTCGAGATGCATTCGGCTTTGACCCAGTCGTCAATGTCCAGCCGGACCCGACCGTTCTACAATCTGAAAGTACCATCCAGGGTAACCCCATCTCCTACACCCCTCACCAACTCCCCATCGGCTCGAGCATGCCGTCCAGAGTCCCCTCCCCCAGCGTCAGCGTTTCTGGTATCCCCTCTGGAGCAGACGAAGGGCCCTTTCTAACCTACCATGCCCGCTTAATCCGAATCATACACTCGGCCTATCCCAATTCTCTTGTCGAGGACACCGAAGGTCGTAACGGCTTGCACTGCCTGGCAGAAGCCATCATCAACCAACAAAGCATGGACAAACAACGTTCCGCCCTATCAATCACCTCCAGTAGCCGTCCCCATAGGCGTAGCACACATTCATCACTCGCATCGGAACTCATTCCTATCCACGTCATCCAGTCAACTGGCCACACTTCCCACCCTTCTCCTGTCACGAGTACCTTCGGGATAGTGACAGAGCACGAAAACCCCCTTCCGTCTCGGCTCCGCCACTTACGCTCCCTCCTTCATCCTTCCTCTGAGCATAGCGCCGTAGGCGTAAACCCAAACGCGTATGACAAATCTGGCTGCACTCCCCTTATGGCCTTCATCCAGCATATTCCTGATCACGAAGACGATAAATCTTGCACTCTCCAAACCATCCTCGAAACACTCATTAGAGGTGGAGCGAGCATTGAAGCGAGGAATAGAAGGGGAGAAACGCCCTTGTTGATGGCGGCGAGGCTGGGAAGAAAGATTGCCCTGAGCGTGCTGTTGGAGCAGGGGGCCAACATGCGAGCGAAAGACAGGTGGGGTAGGGGGGTTTTGGAGATTCTGGACTGGGGGGTCTTGGATTGTAATGGTTCTGCTAGTAAAACCCAGGAAGAAAGCTTAACTGGCAGAGAAAAGGGGATAAAAGAGAGGGAGGAGTTGGCGCTTTATGCTAGGTTGGAGGCTTGTAGGGGTTTGTTGACGAGACGGAGGGATTGGGTAGTTGGGTACGTGAGTGAGAAGGAGGAGTATGGAATGGGCGTGGTGGGGGAGTGGAGGGTCCAAGGACGACTTGAGACAGATGCAGAGGAGAGGGAGGTGTGTATGTGAAGTAGTAGGCGATGGGTGGAATTGATATATGGTGGCCGGCATTGAGATTTGAGGTGGAGCAAAAAATAAGATTTCGACAACAGGCATGGGTATGGGCAGGACATTCGGCGCAGTATTGGCTTCGGCATCAATAGACTTGGTTCGCATGGCAGGCGGGAAACAGACTACGGATCAACATACCTCTACCTACTACATACCTCTAGCAACAAATCATCATTCACAACAGAACCACCCCTTCGGCATACTGGTCAGGGCCCCACTACCATCGGTATCATACGGTATGCGTGTATTTCCACGATACCGTACTCTGCGGGGTGTATGCACAATTTACATGTAACGGCGGATTGTGGAATTGAGACCTTCTGTTTATGTTGCAGAGGATGTATCATACCTACAGGCATCGATGTACTGTCGTCCAATAATCCATTGAGCGGTAGGGTACCTTACAAGTAGAGTTAGAAGTAGTTGTACCGCACTCTGTGTATGTGAGCACGGGAGCAGCGGGCACGACGAGATTTCTCTGCATAAGGGGTGTTTCAGCTGGAAGTTGGAGATTTGGAGAAGCAGGCATGTGGCGAGCAGTGCACCCGAGAAATCGTGGAAGTTTTCAGAAACGAGACTGAAGGAGATTCCAGACCGACAACGTGATAATCAAGGAATTAAGATCTATATGAAGCTGTCTTTCTATTCACTCTAAAATCTGTCCAATATCTTATCCAAGGAACAATCCATATCGAAAGGTCAAACGGCCCCCTCCCTCCCTCGCTAGAAATGCAGTGCTGAGTCGACAATGTACCTTTTGGGGTACGTCGTGTGCGCCGTTAATCCCTGCAGAGTTTGCTTGGCGTTACTTTCTCCAACTCTCCAACAACTGCCTCACGGCGCAGCAGACACCGCACCGTTGATGACTGCAGTAAGGAGGTATCGTCCAGGGAATGTAATATGAGAGTTGCTCGATGCCATTAACCGTGATAACAGCGAGATAACGGGCCACGAGCATGTCGTTTGTAATGACCGTTGTCCATGGTTAGTCGAGCCCCAACGACATGGATGTACCTAACATGCGACCCGCTTGCCGTGCGGGGTTGGTGGTCTGGCTGCTGTTTGATTCCTGGATTTTGGTGGTTATCGCGATGCTTTAGGAAATAGAGATGATCTTGGGCAGGGACGGTGATGATATGACCGGTGATGAAGCGATAAACAGACGGCAATATATGAAAAGGTTGCACATAAGGGCGATGTGTTGAAGGAATTGAAGCGATAGTCGTCAAATGTGTATAGGGAGGATGGCGCGAAATGGGACGTAAAGAGTGAGGTTGCGCTGTGGCGTAGCAGTTTTCGTGTACAGTAATATGCGACTGTGGTCGAGACTAGAAAAGAAAAGAAAGGATGTCTCATTCGAGTGTGTGCACAACTTGAAAGAAATATGTGCGATGCTTGGCGACGAACGGCAACGGAATGAACCCGACCCGGTAGCGTCGTGGTGGAAGTTGTTTCACCAAATTTGTGGAGCCGTCGGTGTCGGTGCAAGTGCTCGAACTAAAGATTTCCTGATTAGGATGCAAACTCAATATATGATTGGTTGTATTTCTTAAGGCTCGCGCCAGTGGGACTGGACGCTGCGTTGCGGGAATGGCGGGGTACCTTAGCGATTGGACCCGTGGATCCTCGGTTTAAAGACCACGCCACGGAATGAAATAAGCCGTAGACCAACGACTCCATGCCGAGTGGTGTAGACAACTACTTGCTGGAGTTGAAGGCGCTGTCGACTTGGTTGATGGCTTCGGCAGCACGAGCCTGATAGAAGACATCGCGTGCTTCCGCGTCCCTGTTGGCGGCGGCAGTGGTAGTAGGTATAATGTCCTGGAGACGGCCATAAGGAGTGCCGTCCTCTTGGTGGTTCTGGGCCGTGAACCTTGCCAAACGTTGATACTGTAGCGAACCGTCATCGGAAGGGGTGTCACTAGAGGTATTGTTGGATACCGAAGCAACGGACACCGAATTGGATGCGGTTGATCGTCCGATGGTCCTCGTTACGGCAGGCATAGAGCCACCCTTTGCAGGTGCGGAAGATGACAGCTTACTAATTCACGGCACACACGTTAGATAAGTATGCTTGAAGATGTCACTCCATGATAGTTATTCGTGTTAGTACCCAAGTGCACTTGCGTCAGGACGCGCTTCGGACTTCGCAGCTGTGGTTGGGAAGCGAGATGTACGGTTGCTGTGTGATTGCATATCGATTTTGTCGTTTTGAACGAACTGAGAGGAGAAATTATGCGAGTAATAGACCCAGATGGTGAGGATGCTTGATACAATCTTATAACAAAAGCAATGCATGAGCTTGGAGGTCAACTTGTGCTGCATGTAGATATCTCGAAAGAAGACGAGGTTGTCGAAGGATATTTATCTTGGGCATCGAGATGCGATGTTGAGCTTAGTCGCGGAACCCATGTGCAGTGGCTTTCTAAGGCTCTGGTGATGGTGAGAGGTGGAGGCACATGCAAGGTTAGTAAGGTCGCAGTGTTGAAGGATTGAATCGTTGTTGGTTCGAGATCAAGATGTTAAAGACCGATTAAGAGCCAATCCGCGCACAGAGCACGATGGATTAGTGTATGTACCTAGGTACCTCTACAGTATGTGTAACATCTACCTAGAGGTGGTTGCCTCATTGCTACGACAGGTAATCTAAAATATGAAGGAGTTTCATTTCTATTTGCAAACTACATGTATTAATCGGTACGTAGGTAGGTACCTGCGTGTTCTGGTGGGGATTTTATGTTTTTTTTTTTTATTCTAATGGCCAATCTAGAGCGTATGTAGAGGTAGGTAAGGTATCAAGTGTTTACGTTGCCCGCACAAGCATGTGCTTGTTGCACAAGCATGTGCTTGTGAACCAGGGGTTTCGGTACGTACCTCTAGGTACGTAACTGTTCGAAGGGTATATTCTTTAATTTTAGATTAATAGCTAATTTAAGGTATAGGTATGTAGGTAGGTAGTATTTATATTGCCTTGTTAAAAAAGGCGAACCATTTTCAGTATATAGGTACCTAACTGCCTGAAGGGGATACCGATTCTTTAATATTAGTGGCCAATCTAGAGTGGAGGTTGGTGGGTAGGTAGGTAGTCTAGAGGTACACTAGTGTTTGTGTTGCCTTGTTAAAAGTTGCGAACTATTTTCGGTATAAACCTAGAGGTAGGTACCTAATATGGACTGCCCGAGGCATCTGGGCGCCACGCTACGTTACGGCAGTTCCGTCCCGAGTCGTGTTTTACGTTTCCCTAGGTAGCTACGCTAGGTACACCTCCGCAGGGGGAAAAGTTGTTAGCTTAGTGAATTTGCAGATTAGCGGGGGGGTGGCAGACTTAGTGGTCGGAGTATCCCGATGTAACCTTTCTGGTAGTTTCTATAGAAAAGTACCTAAAAAGGACTTTGGAAGCCAAAGGAAGCATTTCATCTCATTACCCTTTTTTTCACTATGGTAATGGTAATCTCAGTCGCTCAGCCACCTCCGATGGCCTTTGCGTCTCTTCGGACCTATAGGGCTAAATAGTTGTAATATCCGGCCTACTACCCTTACCTACCTACTAATCCGGATATTATACTATTTGGCCCTGTGGGTCTAAAACGATGCAGCTATACTCCGGTCTAAATTTAATATAGACGAAATAGTTCATTGTATATAAACTTCCAAATTTCTCTAAATTTCCCCAAATATTATAGTCCTAAAACGAATAATACGCGCGCTAAATTATACCTAATACTAATATACTTATTAGTACTATTTTCTCCTACCCTTTTTAATTTTAATAATATACCTATATCCTACTAATTATATTTAGTAGCCTAACTAATATTTACTCTTTTATCTCCTCTACCTTCGTTCTAATTATAAAATTCCTACTATCCGGAGGAATTATATAATAAATTGTTTAATAAAACTCCTTCTTAATATTTACTAGAATTCTTTAATTAATTTACAAACAAAGTCCATTTTAGAGATATATTTACTATAAATATATCTATAGTAAATATTAATACTAATATAGAAATTAAAGATATTTAATATTTATTTAATAGTATTTATTAATATATTAAAATTAATTATCGGACGAATCTATTATATTACTTTATTTATTTATATATTTATTAAAGGATAAATATTTCCTAATAATATAGTAAACGTTTAAAAATATTTATTAATGTACTTTAATACTTTAAAGTATGTAAAGTCCTTACGGATACTAGCGTTTATATATACTTCGAAAAGAATAAAATTAAATACTAATTAAAAGGGGAGGAGACCTAATTTAAATTGGACGAATACCTAACCTAACCCCTAATTAAATATATATTTTAAATATATTTTAATAAAACCCTCTATATAGAATTTAAATTTTTCTTAAGTAAACCGGTATTTTATACTTTTCTTACCAATAAATTCGTTAGAGTTAGTAATACGGTTTACCCTATTATTATTAAGGATGTATTTAATATTTTGTAAATTCGTTTTCGCTTCCGTTCTATCTATAATACTATATCCGAAATTATATTAAAATTAATAGAATTATTTATTATATTATATATATAATAGCGTACTTATTAAAATTTATATAAATTAAAGGATAGTATTTGGAAAAAAAGAGAGATCCGTAATCGTATAATTATAATAGCGTCTATTATTATAAATTTATATATACTTTAAAATAATATATTTATCCCAAAATTATTTAATATTTATTTTAAAAGTAGTTTTATATAATTGTATATATATAATATTCTAGTTCGGTTTAGTATAATTTCTTCTTACAAAATTACTTTACAAACTATTAACCGTTTTATTAATATTTTTATAGTACGTAATTCGATACTTAAATCCTATAGGGGGATTTTGAGAATCCCCCTATAGGATTTAAACGTTTACACTCTTACTATTATCTTATATATTTATACAATTTTAAGTAAATTTTAAATTAATTAGTTATAATCCGAATATAATTATTATTTATAATAATTTTAATTTTATTAATTATATATAAGATCTTAGAATTAGCCGGAAGGATATAATATAGAACCTTACTATTTATTTCCTTATTAGTAGTCCCAATGTTAACGGGCCGTTCAAACTATCCTAATAGCGTCCTTATATTAAGTTTTAATTAGAATAGCTTTTTACGTACTTAAATATAACGTTATTATCCTTCGATAGTACAATTTACTATTTTATTAAAAATTAATTAACTTTTATAGTCGAGCGGAAATTATAATAATCTATTCTTTATTTCCTAGTTATTAAATAATTAAAAACCGTTAAAAATTATATTCTATAAATTCCTATTATTATAGAGGATGAGGGTAAAATTTCCGGTGTTTATTGATTTTATAATAAACTCTTCCTTAATATCCTCGAATTTAGTATAAACGATTTCGGGGACCGATTTATCCTTATTTATAGCGACTAAAAAACAATATTTTTTATTCGTTATATTATTTTCGATTAATTCGAAGTAGGCTACGTATATAATTATAAATAGTAAATCCTTACTATACCTACGTTCTTTTATATTCTTATAAATTATATTAATATAATATTTCGGATTCTTTAATTTTTTATAGTATAAGATATATAGGGCCTTAGAAGAAGTAAGAGGGTAAAATAGTATAATATTATATTTTATAACGGTCGGTCTTTATTAGAAAATATATTCGCTTTTAAAATTCTAACCTTTCTTATTATTAGGCTCGTCGATTATAACTTTATTTTAGAATCCGACTTTATTAAAGTATTTATATACTGAATTATATTAAATATTAAAGAAAAATTTATTAATTAGGAATTTCTTTCTATTTATAATAAAGTCTTTTCCCTATTTACTTAATTTAAATATAAAATATCTTTAAGTATAATAAATATAGGCTATTATAGTATTTATCATTATTTTTAAATTATTCGTATTTTTCTTATATTTAATAAAATTATCTTCTTAGGAAATTATAATATCCTTTAATAAATAATAAGTCTTCTTCCTATTCTATTTTATAGCGGTAAATTAAATAATTATAGGCTTAAAATACTCTATTTAGTATAGTTACTTCGCTCTAAAATTACGGACGAACCGTTCGTTAATATTATCCTACGTTCTAATATAGTATAATATTCTATAATTAGTAATAAGTAGAAGGCGATTAATATAGCTTTTGAATATATTAATACTTTTTTTACCTTCGATATTAAATAGAATAAAAATTCGATTTATAATACGAAGATTCTATTCGTCCGCCTTTCCGCTATTAGCCTTTATATTATAACTATTTATAAAATTATTAAAAATAATATACAAACGTATTAGGTAAGTAAATATATAAAACTATCTATTAATAAAGATATTATTAATTATATTTATACGATCTATCAGAATAAATAAATATATCGGGGATATACAACTTTTCGACTACCCAATTACTTAAAATTCAATATTCTTAATATTTTATAACTTAATTTTATTATATTATTAGAATTAAAGTTCGATATATTTAATATAAAGGAGGTCCGACTACTATAAGTAAATAAATAAATTATAATCCGGAATTCCAAAAGGGGTATTAAATAAATAGAGAGGGATATAAGAGAGATAGTTATTAGTAATAATAAGAGCGAATAAATATACTTTAACAATAGGGTTAAATTTAATAACGAAATAATATAGTATATTCCTAATAAAATATTAAATATTTATATAAATTAGAGTCGAATTAGTTTAGGGCGCTTTATTTACTTATTAATTCCGTATAATTTTTATATTTCTATAGAATTAATTTTAAAATTATATAATATAATAAAATTTATATAGGGTCTAGTATAGGAGTACTAATATATTTATAATTAATAGAACGTATTAATTTAATATATTTAAATTTAATAGGGGGAGTTAATTAACTCTCCCCCCGTTGGATTTATATAAATAATATACCCATATCCTATATTGGAATTCTATTTATATTAATTTAATATATATAAATTTAATAGGGGGTTAATTAACTATCCCCCTGTTGGATTTATATAGACCCTAATATAGATAAAAATATAAACCCCCTTCTTAATAAAGCTATAATACTAATAGATTCTAAAGTAAATATATTACTAAGAAATGAATATCTCGCTATTAATAATACTAATTAAATATTAAATAATTAAACGAAGCTTTAAAGTCCTTTAAATATTAATTTATTCTTAGAAATAAATCCTAAAAATAGAATTTTGAGGCGTAGAAAGTTAGTTAGGACAGAAAAACTTCTATTTAGGAAATTAGAAATTATAAAACATATAAATATAAAGGAATAGAAATAGGTTAGAACAAATATTAT